TGAGCTGCTCTCCACTTTGATCCAGGCTGAGCTGCTGGAGGAAGGGCTGGGGCCGAGCTGGCCTGTCCACGGAGTGCTCCACACACAGCTCCCACATCAGACGGCAGCCGTAAAATGGAGCACAGCTCATTAATTCTCCCTCTTAACCAGGGCACCTGACAAGAAGTGACTTTGAAAACCTGGAGGACGGATGGGTGGGTGGATGGGCGGCTCTTGGTCTGGGTGAGGAACATCTGTTTCCAGGTCCCTGGCTGTTAAATTGACATCTTTTTATTTGAAAAGTTTCTTTTATTTCCCAACTTCCTGCAATTGGCAAGGTTTCTGTGCCAGGGATCAGAGAGTCATGGCTTTGCAGACAATACCAGCTGAGTGGCCTCACTGTCGTGCAGGACAGACGTACAAGTGCCAAGGTGGGTCGCCTGGTGCTCTGTCGATTGTTAAACCTGTGTTTGTGCAGAGAACATCAAACCCCACTTAAAAAAAGCAAAAATGGCCTTGAAATTGAAAACCCTCTGAACGTTGTGAGCCTCCATCTGAGAAATATTAACGTTTCAGAGCTAGAAAATTCACAGGGAGCCTGGTGTGTTCCATTGAGTCTTCTCTTCCTGGGCTCAGCAGTCAAGTTTCCTTAACAAGAATGACCCACATGCCTGCTGTCTGCAGCCTTCATCCTCTTTGGTGACCAAAGACCCCAACTTTGACCTTTAACCCCTAATGGCAAAAGCCACTAGCAAAGGCTGGGTTGATTCTTCTTAAGGTTAGAACCCAAGACTCTTAGGATGAGAGACTGAAAGTGATGTGTAGAAGATTCTATTTATCTCTACTGTGGCTGGAAGCCTTTGGATCATCTTATGTTTCCGGCCATCTGATCCACATGCTTTATCCTGTGTCCTATAGGATCCACCCTTGGCTAGGTGGATCATTGTCAGTAGGACAGCCAACAGTCAGTCAATATTTGAGAAATAAAGGCATGGTGGAATCCCAAGGGATCATCAAGAGATAACCTCATCTCGTACGCACCCCCACTGCATGCACAAGTGTGTGTGTGCATATGTGTACATGTGTGGTGCCAGAAGATGTGAGTCTGAATGTTGGTGCATCTGTGTGAAAGCATCGGTGCCATAGTGTGTGTGTTTCTGAAGCATGTGTCTGTGAAGTGAGTAGATGAGTGCATAAAATACCTTTGTCAGAACATGTTTCTGTGTATTAAGGTGCCTGAGGAACTACTGGGATGAAGTGGCGGTGTGCGCTTGTGGAATGTGGATGAGAACGAGCATTTCCTCATAATCATGTTTCCTGGAAGTGATGGAACTATCCTTATTGGATCTGCTTTAGCAGCGATTGAACACTCGTGCCTCTCAATTTTCAAGGCCTCTGATCCCCACTTCCTTGAAGCCTCCATCAAAATTATAGTCTGTCCAGTCACTGCTTGGGTCTGTCTCCTCCTAGGCGATTTGCTTAGCTCTATACACCTTAGTTTCCTTGTCTGTATAAGGGCAAACTATATAGTACTAGATTAATGAATCCATAAAATAAGTCATGTAAAGCAACTTGAAATGACCTGGCACAGAGTAAGCACTTGGTTAGATGTCATCGGTACCGCCCCTTGTCGCTTCTGTCACTCCCACCTCTTATCTGAAATCATGTCTTTCCATTGTGCTTTGATCTCTCATCTTCCATTCTCTCCCATCTCCCTTCATCACATTATCAACCCTCATCAAGTCAGTGACCCCAGCATCTTCACCACCTTTCTAATCCAGACGACCAAATTAGGGAGTTTCCAGAAGGGTAAGACCAGCAGAGTGTGACCCTGCCAAGATGGTTCACTTGAGTGGTAGAATTAGAATGTAGAGACTCCTTGATTTTTTAATGACTTGAGTGTAGGACAAGAAAAGGAGAAAGTAGGTAGGGAGCCACGCAAATTGGACCCTGTAGTATGCTTGCTTTCCCCGTCTCCTCTTTCCTCTTTGGACTTGGCTCAGGGTGAGGAGGGATGCCCTGGGGCAAGCTTTTCTTTCCAAGAAAGAAAGTCAATGTCCTGGTCACTTTGGCTTTTCCATTCCAATTTGAATATATTAAAATGTAACATTCCAGCTGTGCAAATCCCCAAGCCCTTGAAATAAAAGGTTTTTAACTTTAACCATTAAAGATTTAACTAGCCAATAAATCTAAGTATGTGGGGGGTTGTTAGCAAACGTTTATTATATTGCTCTTGCTTTTAACTTAAGAGCAAATGCCAAGTATGGACTTCCATGAAGAAGACATTCCCTTATGCTCAAAGTGGATGTCAACCCCCAACCAAAAAAAAAAAAAAAAAAAAAAAGCAAGAGATAGCTGTCTCCGGAAGGATCCACTCACTTTCCTCCAAATATCTTTAGGATTTAAAATGGCTATATCTGTTTTACAAACCAATTTGCTTGCTACAAAAAATAAAATCAAATAATAATAAAAAACAGCCTGTAATAGCCTCTTGTTGCCACAGTCAGAACATGACTGACTAAATTAATCCAAAAACCTACTTGCAGTTGGAGCATCTTGGCGCCAACTTTTCCAGAACCAGATTTTATAAAGGCACAAAGGGGATATAGCCTCGGTGAAGAAAATTACAAGATCTTTCACTTTTAGTATCTTCTGGGTGAGTCGGGTAAGCTGTGTCTTGGATTGTAGTGCTTAGCTTTTGCCATTTTTACCTTTAAGGCAAGCAAGTCATCTGCACAGTAGTGAAATATGGCTTTTAATTTACACAAATGTAAGAGTATAGAAGTTAACAATCATATTCACCCTGGACTTGAAAAATGAATAGAAGCCAGATAAATCGTGGCCATTAAAGAAAAAAAAAAAAGATCTGACGTACATGTTGAGTTATACCAGCCAGCACGGGGACAGAGCCACATTCCAGATGTGCTATTTTCCTACCCATTGACAGCTCTCCAGCCCACTCCAGCAGTAAAAAAGTCCTGAAGTGGATTTTTTAATCTGGCGTAGACTCCTTTCTGCCCGTGAGGCCTGCTGGGTGGGTCTGCTGGGTTTCATTTCTCCCAGAATGAACCAGTGAGCCCTGTTTGTGGGAAATACACAGTAAATCCTGGCCTTTGCTCAGGATACCTCCCTCTGGAACATTTTTCACATCTAAATAGGAGATGAATAAAGTTGATAAGCACTTGTATTTCTTTTTTTTTTGAGACGGAGTTTTGCTCTTGTTACCCAGGCTGGAGTGCAATGGCGCGATCTCAGCTCACCGCAACCTCCACCTCCTGGGTTCAGACAATTCTCCTGCCTCAGCCTCCTGAGTAGCTGGGATTATAGGCACGCGCCCCCATGCCCAGCTAATTTTTGTACTTTTAGTAGAGATGGGGTTTCACCATGTTGACCAGGATGGTCTTGATCTCTTGACCTCGTGATCCACCCGCCTCGGCCTCCCAAAGTGCTGGGATTAGAGGCTTGAGCCACCGCGCCCGGCAAGCACTTGTATTTTTAAAAGTGATTTTTCTTTTCACTCAAAGTGGTTTAGCTCAAAGATTTTGTGCTCTAAGAGGCCTTATCCTCTGCTCCCTGAATTAGAAGCCAGAGTACCATGGCAATGGCAAAGCACATCCACAGCCTGTTCAAATTGCAGGGGACACCTACATTTTCCTTTTGAGTAGCAACCCATCCACGTCTCCCTGGCCTCAGTAGAGGAAGGGCTGATTTCAGAGTTCCCTCTGCTCAGATGATTCATTTCCTCCATTCCCCTGCAGCTGCCTAGAGGGAAGTGTGAATCTCAGGGTCCTGGGGTGCAGAAGTATTTCCCTTGGAGGTCCCTTGTGAATGTGAAGGAGAAGGGCTGAACTTTCTAAACTTTAAGTCTCCTCCATGGGTTGGGAGGTGGAGACACTGGAGAAGTTGTTTTCAAACCAGCCTGGAATTGAAGGGAAGCTGCTGCCGATTTGCTGGAGGAAAAGCCAGAAACTCCAAAGACCTGTTTTCAGCCACTAAACAGCAAGGATCACCAACTCATGGGGGAGGCACAGGGTTGTCCCTGCCAGCTTCTCCCTAGGGAGTTTCCAAGTGGACTTTGCTGTCCCTTCTGTCGTCTCTAATTTTCAGATCCCAGACGGCTGAACCCTGGAGAGAGACAAAGCAAGAGAGAGACTCCTCAGTTGTTATTAGAATGCTTTGCTTCCTGAATAACAGGCTGCTTTGAAAGGGGGGAAAAAACTTATCTGGATCCCTAGTACCTGTACAACTGTACATGGCAGCCCTGTTTTTTGGGGGTATAATCTTGGTGTTCTTTGGAGAAAAGGCACCCATACTTTCTGCCAGAAGGATTACAGTTGTTTAGAAACTGCTTATTCCATTTGGTCATTCATCCATTCATGTATTAGCTCATTCCGTCATTCAATAAATATTTCTATGTGTCATGCTCCCTACTTGGTTCAGGACTGTAGGCAGAATAGGACCCAATGCTTAGGTAGACAGTCAGCCAGAGCCCTCTGGAATGAGGAAAGTGACTCTTGATTCTGTCCCTACAGTGGGCGCATCCTCTCTGTCAGTGTTCTAAACAGAAGAGTCTTGTACATGAGACGTTGATTACTCTTTCAACTTTGGTTGTTTCCTTGAGTTTTTCACTGCTCTATTTCAGATCTCCCCACGGTCCATAACCCCAACTGCATGGTCTCCTCCATATGCAACTCCTGCTTTTAGAGAAGGCAGGCAATGTCGGCTCTGCCTCCCAGGTAGCTTCAACGCCGCTGCTCCCACCAATGCCCTCCCGCCCTCGATCCCAGCCACAGTGTCAAAGCGAACCCCTCCGATTTCCCTCTTGATCCCTCTGCTCTCACCTTCTCCAGAACCCCCCCCCCCACCGCCTGTACCACAAAATTCCTCTCTCCTGCATCTGCTCAGTCTCTCGTTCTACCAGGACTTCCGAGACCTGTCCCTGTGCTGTGGGCTTTCCCCTCCGAGGCTCAGCATGGCCAGGCTCTTGTTGGCTGCAACCTCCTACTGAAGGAAGGGACAGACTCTGTCTGCATGAGCTGGGATCATTCCCTCTCCTGCCATGACGCGGCCCCAACACTTTCTCCTGCTGCTGCCTTTCCTCTTCCCCATCTGAAAGTAGCCATTTAAAAAGGACCGAAATGGTCTTCATGAGGTTTAAGGGGTTTATTAGTTTGAAAAACCATGTTCCCTGTTTGGAGGAAGGGGAAACAGCCGCCTTCTTTTCACATTACGTCAATTCGCAGGCGTCTGTAATTTACATTTTTTTAACTCAAATGTTCAAAAATAATGGAAAGGCTTGAAAAAAACAGATGAAATAAAAACTGGGGGAAATGTGTATTATACAAAAACCAGACCTGTGAGCCTGAGGCGAGACGCACGGATGACTTGGGGAGCTGATTAATGAGGCAAAGCAAAGGAAGCCCAGGTGAGTGTGGATGCCACGCTTTCTTCACAGTTGCTGATGCCCACGGGCTGGCGTTTCATTTCCCACGCACAACTTCACGGATGGTTTTCATTGGGAAATTTTAGAGCCACTCATGTTTCTGCTCTAGGAGAAAAGACCCCTGAGCTGTGGAAGCTGGGCAGATGGGAGAATGCGGAGGGAGGACTTGGAGGCATGGAGAAGAGGACCCTATTGGGTCCCAGCATCAGTTTCTCTTAGTCCTCCAAGTCTTTTCTGAGCCAGCCTTGCCTTATTTAGTCCCTTCTTTAGTTTTTCCTCTTTCCTCTGCCTCATTCTCTGAGGAAAAAGGAGATGAGGGTCAAATGGTTAAGACCACAGTAAGATCTAAGATAATCAATTAAAAGAAAGAACCCAACTTCTAGTTACAAATCAAATAATTGCTTACAAAATAACTTATTTTATTTCCACATATAGTTTTTTTCCCCCACATAGTATGTCTCTAAATCCTGTGTCATTTAACATTCCTTTGGCAGATATTTTAAGCACATACCATATGCCAAGGATGGTATTGACTTAGAGGATCCAAGGAGACCAGAACAGACATGGTCTAAGCTGCCTGCTTTGGTGGGGACGGTGGGTTAGACAAAGTGGTCAGTGCAAAGTGATGAGGTCTCTGACAGCAGGAGTAACAGGTATTAGAGCGGCACATGTGGGAGTGAAGGGGTGGGGATGGGGGGCTAGGAAAGGCTCCTGGGAGAAGTGACTTTAGGTGCTGGCAGAAAGAGTAGGACTGAGCCAGGGGGGAGACTGTGCCCAGGCCCAGAGGTAGAGGCTATTGTGAGCACACGTTCAGTCGACTGCAACTGGCGGGAGATAGACAAGGAGGGGCAGTGAGGGACCCAACAAGGCAGGCTGTTTCCAAGGAGCTTAGACTGAATCCTGTGGGCAATGTGAGGCCTCTGGTAGAGTTTAAAAACAGTAGAGTCTGAGCAGTAGAGTTCACATCTCTCAGAGTCACTTCCGTACAGTGATGCAAGTGGCTTTAGAAATCATTTGATAAAGTTGAAATCAGATGATAAAGTTGAGGCCAGGGGAGGTAAATCCAGTCACCCCTCTTACTATGATTGTTACCAGCTGATGTTAATTGAGAGCTTACAGACGCCAGCACTGGGCCCCGTGATTCATAGCCTCAGCTCGCTCACCCTCACCACAATCCTCTGGGGGAAGTACTAATGTCCCCATTTTTCAGATGAGGAAACTGAGGTCCAGAAAGTTGAAGTAACTTGCCTTAGGCCACTCAGCTAGCAAGAGTTGAAGCCAGTATTTGAACGAGGTCTGTCCGGCTTCATAATCTATACTTTCCCAGGTTTCCAGAATTCATAGTTGGGCTGGAATTTAAATCCAGGCCTCCTGATATTGGCCTGCACCAGCACCTCAGCTGCTGCATCGCATATACCCGGCCCGCTTGCTCTCTTAGAAGGTGGGAAACTACCCTCACATCATCTTCTCTGCTTCCGTTGGCCGTGTCTGCACCAACTCCGTGGACTTCATCGTCATAACCGTCGCCTCTGAATATACTATTTTTATATCATAGTCTTCATCTGTCGCCTGTGAAGTATTTCAGAAAGACTGTAACACACATGCAGTGTCACTGTTCTGAGGAGGACCAGAGAGGGACTCTGGAAAGCTGGAGGCGGGAAGTTCCAGGAACATACTTTGAACAGTCTTGTGGGATTCTTGAATCTGTTGGCTAAGGACATGGGCTCAGGTGGCAGGGTAGCCCCTTTCAGCCTGAGCTTGTGAGCTGGCCTGTCTCTGTTGAGTTCAGCAGTCCCCAGGGCTGTGACCTCCCAGGGCCTGGCCATGGTGGGGCCAGCTGACAACTCTGGGACTGTCACCTTCAGGTTCTGTGGGGGCCACGCTGCCAAGACTGGGGAAGCCTCGGGCACTTGTCATTGCTTCCTAGCTAATGACCTCCTGGCCTGGCCACATTGAAGCTAATTTCTGCAATTAGGGGGGCTTGTTTTCAGAGGCTGAAACGGGAACTTTTCTGAATTAGCTTTTATGGTTCAGAGCCTTTAATTTGAGATTTAAAAAACATAGCTCACCAAAACCAAATAAACTGCAGCTAATGAAATTCGCAGAAGTTCTCAGAAAATGCTTCTTACTGGTGCTCCTGGATGATTTATTGACAGCCGGTTGTAAAAACAATCTTATTAAAGGTCATAATGTTGGGTAAAAAAAAGCTCTTTAATTTATAGCATAATTAGGCTTCCCCCAATAGCTCTGCGGCCAGGGCTGTCACTTAGGGCTCCGAGGAAGCACTTGGTGTTTTTCATTATATCACAGTGAAGGAGCACCATGCTCCTAGAGGGCCCACTGACTTGCTCTTTATGGCCCTTTTATTGCTGCTAAAATAGTCAAAATAGGGGGTTGATTAGAGCCGACTGATGCCTACTGATTATGGGAACACCTCTTGTGTGGGGAGGGAGAAAAGATGAGAGGGGCTCAGGACTTCAGGACATGCATCCGACAGGAAGAGATGGGCGGTGAAACATGCTGGGAAAGTGTGACCAGACCTCTGGGCTCTAAACCAGGCACTGTGGGGATTGAAGGCTGACCCCAGACAGACAGGGCTGGGTGAGAAAGGGGAAGGGAAGGTGCTAATGCCTCAAGGAAGAGGACAATCCCAGGGCAGGATGTGTATGGGAATGAGAACCTTCAAAATGCTAATGAGTCCCCAGGTGGAGTACAGCTCTCAGCCTAGCCTGGTGGTGGGGAAACAGCCCCAAAGGCTAGAGGTCCTGCCTGCTGCTGCCTTCTTGCAGAAAGAAAAGAGAGGACTCAGTAGTGGTGTATTGTGGTGGGGGAGGGGGAGATGGGCAAGTCCTGGTCTCTGGAAGCTGAGCCTGGGGACAGGGTCAAGTTCCTAAGTGTGATGTTGAAATAGGACCTGCTCCCCAGGGCTGTGCTCGGGTGTGAAGGTGCCTGAAAGGGGTGGGAGTGTGTGTGGGCAGGTGTCACACAACCTCAGGGATGGCTACCAATGGCCAAACCCAACAGATATTGCCACAGGGAAGGGGTGGGTGACTCCGAAGTTATGCTGGCATTCCATCTGGCCTGGTGCTGACCTGACACTAGAAGGTTGTGGGCTGCTGCTTCAGAATCCACCTTACATGTGGAGTAAGTGCTCTAGGGTGCATCTGGGGCCTTTCCCTTCCCTCCCCTTCCTTCCCCTCCTCTCCCCTCCCCTTCTCTCCTCTCCACTTCTCCCTCTCCTCCCTTCCCCTCCCATCCCCTCCTCTTCTCCCTCCCTTCCCCTCCTCTCTGCTCCCTTCCCCTCCCCTTCTCCCTCCCCTCCACTTTGCTCCCCTCCACTCCCCTCTCCTCCTCCCTTCCCTCCCCTTGCTTCCCCTGCCCTCCTCTTTCCCTCCCCTCCTCTGCCCTCCTCTTGCCCTCTCCTCCTCTCTTTGTCCTCTTTCCCTTCTCCTCCCCTCCTCTTCTCCTTCTCTTTCCTCCCCTGCCGTCCTCCCCCTTCCCCTCTCCCTCCTCTTTTCCTTTCCTTCCCTCCCCTGTCCTCCTCCTCTCCCTTCCTCTCCCCATCTTCTTCTTCCTTCCCTCTTTTTTCCCTCCCCCCTCTGCTCTCCTCTTCCTTTCCCCCTCACCCCCTTCCCCTCCTCACTCCCCTTCCCTCCCTTCCCCTCCCCTCCTCTTCCCTCCTCTTCCCTCCTCTCCCCTCCCCTCTCTCTCCTGAGATTTATCAGCTGCTCAGTCTACCTACTATCCTACATGTAACTGGTGAACACATCTCAGTATCCTGACACCTGCTCAACCTTCAGAGGACTGAGAAATCAGATTTCTGGCTCCTTGAAGCTGAAGGTCAGACCTAGGCATGTGGCTCTCACTAATGGGTGCGTGCTGTGGAGATGCAGCTATTCTTTCATGCTCCTCCTCCTCCTTTCTCTCCCACTCCTTCTTTTGCAGTTGTGTGCAAAAGGTTTACTGGGGAGTAATATTGTGAAAGGAAAAAGGGAGAAACAGGAGAATCAGGTAGGGATCTTGAGACCGCCGTGCAGATCTGACAGTCTCTTCTGCCTCTTCTCACAAGGTCACTGGCTTCCCTCCAACAAGTGGGGACAAGCAGGAAGGATCACTGGGTTCTGTAGAGCTGAGCTGGGAGAACTTTGTCATAGAACCTGGCATTTTGCTGAGGGACTCCCTTAGATATTTTCCCTCTTAATTCTAACTCCAGCCAGTGGAGAGAGGATGAGACTTGCTCCTCAGATCAAAGTTCATAGTTGTGGCATTCAAAGTTCACTCAGTGAATGTAACTGAGCACCTGCTATGCGGCAGGCACTGAGCAGGAAGGTGGGCTTATAGAAATGAACTTAGGAAGTTTCCAGGTTGAGACAGAGGTGGAGGAGGGGCATGATGTAATCGATCACATTACCATATGATAAATGCCGCTGCTAACTTTACACAGGAGCTAAGGGAGTACAAAGGAAGGAGGAGGTAACTGCTTCGTGTGTGTTTAGCAGTTACTGCATGTGTGACGCGTGTTGGAGTGTGTGTGTGGTGAGTGCATGCACGTGAGTGTGTAGTCTGTATCAGTTAGGTCAGTGTGATGTGATGTGGATATATGGGTGTGTGAGTGGGAGTATCTGTGAATGATGGTGTATTCGAGTATGTGAGTCGTGTGTGATGCTGTGGTGTGCGAGGGTGTGTGAGAGTGCCCGTGAGTATGTGTCAGGGATGTGCTGTAGGAATGACTGACCTCAAGGACCACAGCAGCCTTTGCAGAAGGTGTAAGTGCCCCATGGGAAGGGATGGCATCTGCTGTGCTGGAACCCAGGGCCTAGCATGGTGCCAGATGCAGGACATGATCAGTAACCCTTTTTTGACTGAACAGCTGCCCCCACTTTTCTGCAGTGCAGGGAACAGAATCCGATCTGTTAGCATCAGCTGTGGCCTTGATTTCCTTTCAGGAGGCTTGTCCTCTTGGACAAAGAAACAGAGCAGGA